TGGTAAGATTATTATTATTATTAATTATTATTATCAAAATATTCAAAGAATTGCACTAACAAAAAAGCTTGACATGATAATAATAATAATATGATGACGATGAAACTAAACTTCTTTGACGTCAAATTTCTTAAAACTAGGTACTGAGCAGATAGAACTTTGTTATTCTGGAGTAGCGATTAATGACGTCACATGGGGGAACACGCAAGGAAGACACCCCACGGACCTACCACTTCAAACACCTTGAGAATTAGGACGGTCTGGTCCATTAGGAACACATTTTGTTCATAATTTGAGTTTTTGGAACAGTTGAAAAGGAGACAAAACTCCCCTTAATAATAATAAAATAAAAAAACCAGTATTATTATTATAATAAAAACAACAATAATAATAATAAAAATAATAACTATATGATTTAACGAAATAAATAGCAGTTCAACATTTGAATGCTCCATGGATGACCCAATGCAAACAGCTGAGATATTTGTGATCAAATACTTTTTTGATTAATATAATTTCCAATTATTGCTAAAAACACATTTCAAGTCATACTTTCAAGTTTTTAGAACATATTCTCGGACAAACAAGTCTTTAAAGAGATGAGAAAAGCACCCGTATACCTCCCAAAGACAAAAACAAGAACAGAAAAAAGCAACAACTAAAACAATTACAACAGCACCACAACAACCGCCATCATCACCTACTACAACAACAACAACGTCACCCTCCTGCTACCACCACCCAGAACAACCAAACAACTGACAACAGTTTAACAACAGCGACACAAACATCAACAACAATACCAACAACAACAGCAACAAAATTAACGGCAACAACATTAACAGCAACAACAACAACAACAGCACAACAACAGCAACAACAGCAACAACAGCAACAACAACAGCAACAACGCAACCCCTTCCGATCAGCAACAATCAGTGTTTCGGATAGAGTCACCGGCGCATTAACTCTTCCAGGACGAAACAGACACATTCACTCATTACAATCATTGGTCTGATCAGCAGTACAGCAAAGGCAATATTGCGCGCTCATATGACCTTATGCAGATGCGAGCGCCGTAAAACCCCAAACTAAACTAAAAGGCAATGTTTCAGAATATCATATTTCCACAACCATACACTAATCAGAAACACGGTTTGCATCATTTCTTGTTGTTTCTTTTTTGTTTTGGTCTCAATAAAATTTAAGTCCTCTTAGCGATTTTGGACCACCAAGGGATCTTTAACGTGCGCAACTTGCACTGGGGACCATCGGAGATTTTTCGCTGTTATCCCAAAGCGCCGTGCGCAAAACTTTTACCAAAACACATAGTGAGTGAGTTAAGTTTTCGCTACATTCCAGAGCGTCAATGTATGCGGACAGACATCGATTAGTCTACACGAGCCTTGCGTGAGAGCGTGGCTGCTGCAAGAGTTGACCTCGATACCGGAACAACATGGCGGACATTTTGGTTGCTGTTCTTCATAATATGTACGGGGTTTATATTTTAGGATTGTCGTGTGGGGAGGAAAGGGGGGTTGGAAAAAGGGGGGGGGGGGGATTGGTGGTATTACAGGAATGAGAAGGGTTTCGACTATGCCAATAATACGACTGTTTGTATGTTTGTTTGTTTGTTTAAGTAAAGGGTTGCACCTCGACACGCTAGCAGTCTTTTAGTTGTGAGAAAGAGTAAGACAGGCAGACGGAAACGACGTGCGGGAAAGAAAAGAAGTAAGACCAACCCTACCAAAGACCAACCAGTGACACCCTCCAACCGTCTACCGTAAACCATCAGTATAACACACAAAGCATAGATCTAGACGTTTTATCAGCTGTAACATTGACTTTCTGAAGTCCCTGTATAAGTCCCATTAAAATTTAGCGTGTAGGGCGCTTCCACTGCAAACCTCTCTTCACGCCAAATCTGGGTACTTCGGGAAGACCCCGCCCACTCATTGATCTTATGATAAGAATTGTCGAGAGAATAATTTTCTTTTTTAAAGATTTTAAATGGGCTGTAGCCCTCTTAATATCATTGACGAAACTGTGTTTTGTTCACGCTTTATTTTTGGGTAAATAAAGTGTCGTTGTTGTTGTTTTCGTTATTTTTTTCCATTTCTCTTAATTCCGTAATAAATGTGTGTCATGATAATGAAATCAGGCTCTCGTAAAAAGTAAAAAAAATGAAATCGCAGAAACCGACATTTTTCTGCTCGTTATAGATCTAGGCAATCTTACCGAATTCTTATTTTATTTCCATTAATAATTTTGGGATGCTGAATCTCTTTTACACCCATATGAAAACATCTTTTCGAGTGGATTTCATTGTAGGACGTTGATCAAAAGCAGAACAAATGTAAATCTGCAGTTTCTGAGGACACTCAAGCTTTGGAAGCCATCCAATTTTGGCGGCCATTTTCTCACTATTTTCATCTCTGACACCAGGCGCCCCCC